ATCACAAGAGACCTATATGCGTTTCATTTCATCAGCCCTTCCTGGACAGGCTGGATACTATTCACTGGAGACTCTACCTTCCTCCAAGTCCTTTGTATCTAGGTTCCCTCTTGAAAGCTTGTAAGTCAGTCACTTCTTACTTTTGTATCCCACCCCCCATTTTGGGTAGCCAATGTCCAAGTTGCCCATCCCTGTCTACTCTGTGTGTGGAGGGGGTGGGAATAATTCTTGCAGCAGGGATTTGTTTCCTATTTTGAGCTACTTCATTTATAGGTGTAGGTCAACTTTATCAAATTGTATCAGATGACGCTTTTTTCCTCTTCTTACTTCTTTGGGTTGAGCTCTGTTCATCCAGTCATTGAAGCCAGGTCAAGTGGGTATCATCTGCAAGTGTGGGTGTTCATCTGTCCGCCCTCTTCTTATCAGCTGGCCGCTTCACTCTCCGCTTTTGTCCTCTGTGTCTTTATCATTGACTCTGAGCCCATGAGTCCCCAGGTCTTGACTCGCTGCTGGTAGACCAGGTCTCCACCTGGATTCATAGTAGTCTGCTGAATGATGTAGAGCTTAGTTCGCCGCTTCATTGATGTGCTTTGGTCACTTCCCCTTGTGGGTGACGTGCATGATCGCCAATCAGAGTGTGTATTTCCATTGTGTCTTAGTCTTGGAAGAGAATTTGCACTGAGAGGACCCGACCACTTGCCTTGGTGTCTCCTTGGCAGGCAACATGCTTGTTCTTGTGGTAACAGTCGGACTGTCCTTATTGTTTTGTATTTTCCCTACAGGTCTTTCTTTCAAGAAGTATCTTCTGGTTTTCTAGCTGCTCCAGGCTGGTCTACTTGTCCTTTCAAGTAGAAAATTTCTTGTCTCTGAAGGTCTGGATGTGGTTCAGGCTTCCACCTATAGCCTTATGTAATGCAAAGGCTCCTCAGGAAACCTACTTCACTGGACACATTGTAGCCCCATTTTAGGTATTCCAATCAGTTATAGGCAGAAGACAGACTTACAAGCTTTCTATGGTGATATAGCTGGCTATTCCTTTCTCTCCCCCTCCAGTGTCTGTTTTATAATATAATGCATGGAAATCCAAGGTTCAAAAGACAGCCAAGCATTTTAACATTATTACCCCCTTTTCCCCATTCCAACTATGTCTCAATCTCTGTATCCCAGTGCCCTGTTGTTCTAAGGCTGTGCCTACATCATTTTTTACCTCTTTCCCATTTAGCCCATTCATACCTATCTAATTGTTCTCCCATTTGCTTTGTTCTTCCATTCCCCCTCACTACTTGTATATTGTCCCCCTCCCCAACACCCAAACTATCCTGTGTCTATTCCCTGCCCTGTGCTTCACCTTCCCCTCCCACCCCTAACCCTACCCGTACATCCCAGCAACCAGCTAAGAATCCACTTCAGTGGATTAGTATGGGTTCTTTTTCTTAGTCTTTTACAGTAGTGGTCCTATGCAGTATTTTTCCTTTTGTGACTGACTAATTTCACTCAACATAATGTCCTTAAGGTTTATCCATGTTAGGAAGTTGCATGCAGCTTCCTTGTTATTTTTCAAGGTAGCATAATACTCCATTGTGTGTATGTACCGCAGCTTGTTATCCATTCTTCAGTTGATGGGCACTTTGGCTGTCTCCATCTTTTTGCTATTGTAAATGGTGCAGCTATGAACATTGGTGTGCACATATCTTTCTGTGATGTGGCTCGTTTTTCTTGTGGATAAATACCAAGTAGGGGAATTGATGGATTGTATGGTATTTCTCTGTCCCAAGCCATGGTATTTTCAATAACCTCGTATGGATGTGAAAGCTGGGCAGTCAATAAGGAAGATCTTAGAAGAATTGATGCCTTTGAGTTGTGGTGTTGGAGGAGAATACT